TTCATTCCCATCTCCACTAACATCAAAATCGACATCGACATCGACATCGTCAATGCCAACAATGCAACGGATTCCTAGCATGGATAACATTGTAAGCAAGAGAAGTGGAGCGATCGCAAACAGTAGAAGCTCCCTTCCCCCTCATTCTAAGCGTACAGCATCTTGGAGTGCGCGCTTTTTTGACCATTTGCCTGAAATCAAGAATGAGCGATGATGCAAGTGGGCGTTGGGGTTTTTGATATTTGACGAAGAGCTTGAGTAGTTAGAGAGATACATACCATCCAACCAGGATTTCGTATTTGGCAAGCCGGTTGTTGTCTGAAAGAAGACAATTGTTGGCATTCTTAAATTGTTTGTACAGGCAATGTTGATATTGAAAACAGATTGCTTTATGATTGAAGAAAATCTGAAAGAGAGCTATACCTTTTGAAGAGAAAAATCACTAGTTCACATTTTCAAAACAGTGTTCTCTGCTCTTGTATTGATATAATCAAATTTTGTTCAATTTCACATTTTTTCCCCCCAAGTTCAATTAGATATTAATCAAAAATAAAAGGATGAAATGTTTTTGTTCTAGAATTCTGTGTGTGTGTGTTGAGTATTTGCCTGCCCTTTTTGTGATGCCTTGATGTTGATAACTCAGTTGTGGAGTCATTAGATGCTGATGCTGAGTAAAGCTCGAGTCAAGACTGAATTTAGTAATTTGTTGGCTTAAAACATAGTTTGCATTTGTGATTGGATTGTCAATTGGAGGAATGGGTTTAGAAAATTCATCTTGAAATCATTTCAATAATTTAAATTGTTTAGTTAATTATACAGGATAGAAGATTAATTTATATTTGCCTTAGACCGTCTTAATCATATAACATTATTAATATTTAATTAGTTTAATTTTTTATATAAATAATGTGTTTGACGGGCCCTACATGATGTACTACTTAGATAATCAAGGCGGGGTGAGCCACAATGGATTGGATTAGACCTCTTCAATTCAATCAAAGGCATGAGAGGCGCTGTTCACATTTAAAAAATAAAAATAAATAAATAAGTCAAACTTAATATTTATGGTGAATTTAACACATCTGTATTTGTCATATTGGGACTAGCTTATCTCTGGTCCTAAATTGAATTGAAGAGGTATTGTTGAGTCAATTGGGCCTATTTCTAGACTCTGTTTTGATAAGTTGAATCGTTTACATTTTAGAATTTGTCGACTATATTACTTTTGTAAAAAATAACTTGATCAAATAATAGTAATTATGTATTCGAATCAGTTTCGTATAAAAAAAAAAATAAATGTTGAGAAAATAAACAATTTATTGAAAATTGATCCGAGCACAACACATAGTTTTCATTATCCAATTGACTTGATTTTTTACAAAGATGATGTATTTGAAGAATCTTAAAATGTGAACAGTTTAAATTATCGAAACAAGACTCAAAAGTAAACTCACTAGACTGGATTGAACGGTCCAATCCCCATTACATTATATCTTGCTAAGTACAAACCGTGAAACTAACCAAACTCTAAGACAAAGTTAAGGGTAAATTATAAATATATTTCCTGAGATTTTCTTAAAGTACAGATTGCTTCCTATAGTTTGAAAAATTACAAATGCCCTCTCATTAAAAAAATTTATTTACGGGTTGTTTTGGGTGTTCTAAATGAGTGCATTTTTTGTCTTTTTGGATTAAAAAGTTGAGGAAGAAAATATGGATGTTTGGGTTAACTTTTTGACTTTTTATGAAAAAATGTGTGTTAAAATATTGTATAAATAAGTGTGTAGGAGAAGATAATTAATTAAACCGTACTGTTGGGCAGCGCGTTGGCCGAAAAGGATATGGGAAAAGATTGCCTACTTTTTGGCCTTTGATTGGACGGTGTTGTTCGGCCTGTGGGGGCCCACCACGGGTTCCCTTTTTCTAATCGGAACCGTTCAATGTGTAGAACTCGTTGAGTACTATATTTTTATAGAAAATCACGTTCATTGGATATCGATAGCTATCTGATCGTGTTAGTTTTTTTTGTCACATGTTAACTATAACACCATTCATTTTTTATACAAAACTGATTTGATCATATAGTTAGCGATATCCGATAAACGTGATTTTTTACAGGCATATAGCACTCGACGAGTTCTACACATTGAACGATTCTGATTAGAAAAAGGGATCCGTGGTGAGCCCTCACGGGCCCAACTTTACCATCCAATTTAATGAATATACACCTGTAATAATTTTTTTTCCGCTTTCACTCCTATGCTTTCAGGTCTGTACACAGGCTGCCATGAAGTTAATTGGTATTTAATATTATGTATATTAATTTTTTTTATATTTTTTTTGATAAATAGTGATAACTTTTTAACTTTTTTAGTAACTTTTTGACTTTTTGACTTTTTTTTTGAGTGGCCAAACCAGCCGTTAACATAATTAACTAAAAAAAAGAAATTCATAATTACTCTCCTATATAGTAATAAAATTACCTAAATTATTAATTGAAACATATTTACAATATTTTTAAAAACTGTTAATTGACTTGATGACTTATTAATAAAAAGAACAATTTATTATGAAATTAAAAACCTTAGTGTGTAATGTAATTTTCAAAACTACAAAGAGTAATTTGTATTTTAATTTAAACTCAGAAGATATATTTGTAATGATTAATGCTTGAGGCCTCGAATTCGAGGCCTCGAAATTGCCTCAAAAATCTTTTTTTTTTTGCTAAATTCACCCCTCCTCCTAAACTTTTATAAATATCACTCTTGTATCCTACATTTTTTGAAATTTTCAATGTTGTGTCACATATCCTTGCATCTTAGATAGGATATTCTTGTGCAAAGGATAAAAATGCCTTCCAGTACCTACTTCCATCCTGAAGGTTGCAAAGACTGATTTTGCAGTGTTTTTTTTTTTTTTTTTTTTTTTTTTTTTAATTTTTAAAAAGGTGGTTATGTGTAGGGGTGTGTCAAAAAACTAAACATTCCGCACCAACTCATCGTATAAAATTATATGAAATTTACAAAATTTAACAAGCAGCTTAACTGATCAGTCAATTAGGTTGGATTAGTTGAGTGATAAAATTGACTAATTAGTTAGACTGTTGGTTAAATTTTGTTAATTTTATATAATTTTATACAATGAGTTGGTGTGAAATGTCTAATTTTTTGACACATTCCTACACATAAACCACCTTTAAAAAAAAAAAAACCAAATAAAAAAAATAACTAACTAACATAGCCACCACCAAAAAAAAAAGAAAAAAACAAAAAACAAAAAACAAAATTATTATCGAGGCAAATTCGAGGCATCTAGCACCGCTGATTTGTAATTTACTTCAAAGTTAATAAATAGTCTGATTAAAAAAGTTAGATAAACAAGTTAATCATCATCATATTCATGGTAAACCACCACATCAATGTAGCTTAGTGGTTGAGTTTACACAATAGCAGGGACATTGCCCACTTCGGATTATTTTGGTAAGTTGGTTAAAATTTAATTTTTTGATTTTTTTAAAAAAAATTATGTTAAAAAAAATTAAAAAAAATGATATAATCTAAAATAAATTAAAAATTAAAAAATAATTTTTAGCTCTCTACCCAATGGAGGCTTTTATATATAAAAAATGATTAGGAACTCTAATAAAGAAATTTTAACGACCTCTAATGGGAGTGGATCCCACTGTGATGTGAGGTTTTGACTTTAGTTCTATTTTTTTAAATTTTTTATTCTTTACCATGCCATTAAAGTTCAATTAAAACTCTAAAATTAAAAAAATATATTATTGCTCTTTATATATTCCCACTAAAGAAAAACAAGTCCCTGATAAGACGCCACCTAGTATATGTCATGTTATGGTGTCACATAATGGGTACAAACATTACGTTACGGGCAATGTCACAAACCAAAATTTTAAATTTAAAAATAAAAAATTAAAGATTCTTTACCTATTTATTTATTTTCTATATCTAATTCTATATTTAATTTATCTGACTAAAACTTATTTTTATATAACAACAATAATAAAAACTTACTCTTACAATCTCTAAAATGATTCACGCCATTAATAATATAAATTTACATATATATATAAATCAGCTTCACGCGTCATAAATGATATAGGTCACTTTAAAAGTTGTGAAAATCCTCAAAAAGGCGTTTCACTATTTTCCCCATATATGCACTACAGCCATAAAAACATCAACTCTATCTCCCTCTATATGGAGTCATTTTGAAGTAGTTCACCAATCACCAATCAATTCTCTATTTCTATGTGTGTTTTAAGTCACCAACTCTCTCTCTCTGTCTCTCTCTCTCTGATGTAATATGGAGGGTGAAAGTAGGAAGAGGAAGGTGGGGAAAGATGAAGATGAGGAAGAGAAGATGGAGAAGTTCTTTGCATTGATCAGAAGCACGCGAGACGTGCGAAAACGTATGGTCATAACTGACATGGAGGAAGAGAAGAAGAAGAAGAAGAAAAAAGGCGAGGAAGAGAAGCTGCCGGTGGGGGTTTGGAACCCGTCGTTCCAACCGGAGGACTTCATGGAGGGTGGAGGAGGTTCTCAGGCAAGCCTAGCAGGACCTTCAAAGAGACAAGATGAGACTCTAGAAGAAGATAAAGGCTTAGACCTCAAGCTCTCTTTGTAATAATAGCAAAAGCAAAAGCAAGAATATGTACACTAATGGAAAATGGACATTGCATGTTAAAATGTATGGTTGGTTGTTAATTGATCCAAATGTTAATACAGTCTTTTGAAAATACAACATTATCAGCAAGATAAGTAGTGAAAGCAAGAGAAGAATATATATATATATATATATGTATGTATATTGTTTGTCCACAGTATTTTTTTATCACAGAGAAATGTGGGCTTAAGAGGATTACAATGATTATTTGGTTGTGTTTTTATTTTTCTGGTTTGTTTTTCATGTTTTGGAAATAAAAATAATGAAAAATTTGAAAAAACACCAATTGTTTTTTTATTTTTGTGGGAGAGTAGTTTTTGAATTGAAACTAGTTTTTGATGTGTTAGACCATCTCCAACGGTGAAACAGATTCATCACCAGATTTGAATTTGATGGAAAAGTAACTTTTATCTCTCCAACGGTTTCACCAAAATGATATCAAATTGAGAATCAGTCAAAACTTTTACCAAAATGAAAATCTTGAGCAGATTTCACCAAAATACTGTGCGTTTACGTTGGAGGTGGCCCCACCGGACAATCGGCCGGACGTTCGGCCGATTGTCCCACAGGTCGTCCGGCTAACTCATGAACAATTCTCAGAATACAGCCATTGTCTACTTTCAAGTTTTGACTCCTCTCTCTCTCTGATGGACACACAGAACTGAGGCATTGTATGTGGAGGCTTTGCATTTAATTGGGTTGTAGAAAAGTTAGAGATAGAAGAAAGAGAGAGCTTGGAGCTCTTTCTGAATAGGGAGTTCAAGTCGGTTTCTTGTTTTTCTGAACTCTTTTTTTGCTACATTTCGTTGAATCAATTTTCTGTTGTGTTTTCTTTGCCAACCTTTTTGAGATCTGGGTTTTGGGTTCCAGGGTTTGAGGCTTTGAACTCGTCTCCGTATTGGGTTTTTTCCCAATTCGATGGTAATGTTTTGACTTTCGAATTTCAATGGGTTTGGGGTTTTGTAATTCCATAAATCTTTTGAATCTTGGGTCTTGAATTTCTTTGTGTTTTGAGTCTCTCTCTCTCTTTTTTTATTTTTATTTTTATTTTTATTTTCACTTTTCTTCTAATCCTACTTTTTTTTTTGTCACTTTTCCAAAATGTTGAACTGGTCCAGTAGTTCACTGATTGAACCCTAAAATCTGTGGGTAGATTTTATCCTCTTTTTTTTTTTTTTTAAACTTTTTTTTCTTCCTTCATTTTTGGATTCCAAATTTGTTGTCTTAATCTGGCTTGAATCCTTAGTTACTGGTTTTTCAAGGTAGTCAAATCTAGGGTTTCTATTTGATCTGGTTAAAGATCAGTGAGAATTGAGAAGAGCAGAAGAAAAGATAGGTCTTTCAATGCATCTTTCACTATGGAAGCCAATTTGTCACTGTGCTGCTCTGATCATGGACAAGAAGACTAGAAAAAGAGATGGGTCTAACCATTCAACAAAAGAAATCAAGAGAAACCCATCATTTTTGAGGAAATTGCAAGAGCACAAGCTCAGGGAAGCTCTTGAAGGGCAACAAAATCGGAATAGAAATGGAGGGGGAAAAAAAATATTTCAGTGGCGTAATTGGTCGATTGGCCGGTCATCCCACCGGGCGTTCCCAGGCATTTGATGCAAGCAATAATGTTCACCATTTGAGCAACTCGTATCAAATTGAAGAAAGAGATTTTTTTTTCATCTGATTTGATGAAAAAACAATTCACCGTTGGAGATACTCTTGTAGGGCTAGTTTGGCAATGCTTATATTTATAGTTTTCTTTTGCTAATATTTACAAAGTTTTGAAGGTTGCACACAAAAATCATTTGGAATTCATTTTCGTTTCCAAAAAATTACGAATAATTTACTAATATCTTGTAACCAAATTTTTTTTTCATTTTCATTTTTGTTCTTCACTTCTTTAAAAAATAATAATTTTGTAGAAAAAATAAGAAATAATATACAGCGGAAATAAACGAATTCAGCCATACCTTTTACGCTTAAACTATTCCATAGATCATGTGGGTGAACCACGTGCCTCCATTGATATCTTTGAATAATTCCCAACAATGGAGTAGAACTATTAGAGAACTACCCACACTCTTTACAGTACAAATGCTATTATGTGTTACTATGGAGAGAGAAGAAAAATAGAGAAGACTCTAGGAGGCTGATCATAGATGGTTAAAATTGACTCTCACCATATAATGCTTATATTATATGTGAGTGTTATAACCACCCACAACTCTATCTCCTCAACAGATGAGATAGTGAGTTAATCACATTTATCTTAAAGATAAGTTAATCCAAGTCCACTTTGACTGGATCTCTCCTTATGGGTCTTGGGTCATGCCACCATAGGTGACTTAATCGGGTATGGATTCTAAACCTTGACCCAATTTCCAACATCTTCCACTCGAACATATGCTGGCATGGCATCGTGCTTCCTTTATTTCAATCTATCTATCAAACACGATCATACTAGCCAATGGATTGTGCGACTGCTGAGAACACCAGCATGTGGGAGCTCTACATTAGAAACTCAAAAACAGCTAGCATAGAGATATCAACCCAAATATAAAAATAGTGTCTCATATACCCTAGACCCATCTAATTACACCGGTCCAGAAAACATCTCTAATCCCTCAAAAGAGCATGTTTGACCCTTTTAATTTTTGAAATATATTCACACTCAATCCGCCTCTCATATAGAGCGATGTGAGTTGCCGACAGTCACTACAAGAATTTTCACTTTTGGCAACTAAATTTTTAGTTGCCAAAAGTCATATTTTAGTCGCCTATAGTCTTTAGCGACTAAATTTTTTGGTCGGAAAATTAGTAGCCAAAGAGTAGTTGGGAAATATAATTGCCGACTAAACCTAATTTAGTCGTCAATAGGTTTGAAAATTAATTAAATAAATACATTTTTGCCGACCAATTTTTTTGTCGCCAAAAGCCAATTATTTAGTGGCCGAAAAATTTTTAGCTACTAAATTTTTTGGTTGCCAAAAGCAAATACTAGTGTTTTGGCTACTAAAATTTATTTGCCTAAAGTCAATCTTTTTTGGTTACTAAAATTTTAGTCGCCAAATATTATTTCTTTTGCTACTAAAAATTTAGTCGCCTAACCTTCAACATTTTTTGCTACTAAAAATTTAGTCGCCTAAACTACGACATTTTTTGCTACTAGATTTTTAGTCGCCAAAAGTCATATTTTTTCTTTAACTTTTGTTTTTAGTTACAAAATATTTTAGTCGCCAAATGTTTGGTTTTCTTTTGGCCTCAAAACTTTTAGTAGTCAAAGGTTTGATTTTCTTTTGGTTACAAAACATTTAGTAGTCAAATGGTTGTTTTTCTTTTGCCTACAAAAAATTTAGTAGCCAAATGTTTGATTTTCTTTTGGCTACAAAACATTTAGTAGCCAAATGGCTGTTTTTCTTTTGCCTACAAAAAATTTAGTAGCAAAATGTTTGATTTTCTTTTGGCTACAAAACTTTTAGTAGCCAAATGTTTTTTTTTTTCCCCTTTTTATTGGCTACAAAACGTTTAGTCGGCAAGAACATGATATTATATTTTATTGCTAATATTATAATGTGTCCATAACCTGTCTGTATTCCATTCAACCTGTAATACGTATATAAATAAAATGATACAAAAATTATCAATCATTTCACAATCTGCATCCGTATACAAAAAATAAATTACTTTAACTGTCCAAGTACATACAAACGAACTATTGTCCAAACTAAAATAATAATTCCATACAACATATACAATCATACAAAAAGTAAAGCCCTCCATATACATAAATTACATTTGCTATACCATGTGAAATGACCATTTGGCATGGTACAAATTACCATCGTAATCTGTACCACGACAAAAGGTGATGTATGTACCAAGCCAAAAATACATCTATGTACCACGACAAAAAATCAATTTAGTGGACGGCGTCAAAAGGTGATCTATCTACCATGCCAATAATTATCTATTCGCTGCCAATAATTTTCTGTATCAGGAATAGTTAACTGCACAAAAGCTGGAGATGACAAAAGTATTATATTACTTCTATAAAAAAAGTACAATTTCTTCTCCATACACCAAAATATCTCTGCAAGTCCACACAACGAAGTCATCTACAAAAAAAAAAAAAAAAAAAAAAAAAAATTGAATTGGACCCAAAAATGCCCAACTTCATGAATGAATTTGGGAACAAGTGACAAATAAAAATAAGTGAGAAGCAACCTTCCATGATGAATCAATTATCAATCATTGTACAGTCTTTCTAAAGTCTTTTGTTAGAAGGAACATTGTTAAATGCAGAACAATCATTACTAAATCTTTCATTAGTAACATACAGCTAATGTAACAATCTTCTATTTGTATGCAATATGTATCCAAATTCTGTGGCTAAACCAATATCAAAGCCCAATGTGAATAGAAAGTATTCTTTTTACCAACTTTCCCATTATTTGTTTGCAAAAGGCACTTGAATTATTAGATTGGATATAAAACCATCGGTGCTTATTAATGTATGTCAGTGCCATTTCAAAGAGGATATTAGAACATGTGATAAAAATAATAACACACGTGTGTATGTTCACAAAATTAGCAAGTTTAAAACATTCCGTCAGTTGTCACAAGTCTTATTTGTAATGGGAAAGCTGCTCGTGAGAGTCAGACGGAGGTTCGGGGGATGTTTTGAAGTTTCGCCCCCGAAACGCCCTTTTCCGACTAAGTTTTGGGCGTATTCGTCTCTAAATCCCAACCTACGGGTCCGAATAACATTCTGTCAGTTGTCACAAGTCCTATTTGGCATGGGGAAGCTGCCTGTGTCGGCCAAACGGAGGTTCGAGGACTGTTTTGAATTTTCACCCCGAAACGCCCTTTTTCGACTAAGTTTTGGGCGTATTCGTCTCTAAATCCCAACCTACGGGTCTGAATAACATTCCGTCAGTTGTCGCAAGTCCTATTTGGCATGGGGAAGC